TTACTTGGAAGTGTTATGGGGCCAGAGAAGGGGGAAAAGAAGGCTGAGAGAAGATAGTGCTTCCCTTTAAATACTAACCTCTTTGTGTTAAAAATGAATGAGATGTTACCAGACTGTATGGTGCCACACAACAGATATTTGGGACTTGTTGTTTATTTCAGGTTTTTTTAGGTCCATTTTGACTTATGAGAATTTCAGAAGTGACCCTTTGAAAGACAATTAATCTGTATGGCTTGTGTTTTGCACCAAGATGTACTGGTCCATGATGGTCTCTGTAAGAAAGGTACTCAGACTATGTACAGTATCATTTAAAATTCTTTTAATTGGGTTTGACACTCTAAAGAGAGAGAATAGTATAGATAATCTTGCATCCTTTTAGAAGCTGGGAACGCAAGTTGTGCAGCATCAAATGAACCCTAAATCCTTGTGTAGTACCCGTGCAGACCCTACCCTGTCGAAAGGGTTGCCTCATTTTGACTATTCAAGCTATTGTATGATGTTCCTACAAAAAAACAACTCTACACATCATTTCTACTGTCAGCCAAGGAAGGATGTTCACAGGAGAACTTCTTGCTGCACTTCTTGATGAAAGACATGCAGGTGGTGTAATTGCTGGTACCAAGTGGGAGCTGCTTGCAGGCTCCTCTGGTATGAGCTGGCTAAGTTTATGCTGTGGCCAAGAGATCTGCACAGCACAAGCCTGGGCCTGTTAAGTAGCCAGAGTGGGTCAATAACACCTCAATTAAACATGGCCTTCTAGTCAGAACCACTGCAGTTTGTACTTTTCTGGTTTTTAAAAGCCTTATGGAACTTATTACAGTGATTTTTTTTTTTTTTTTTTTAAATCTGTTAATGGATTTTGCTATCTTCCTTTAGGAATTCCCAAACAGACTTGTGACAGAGCTGGTTTTTAGTGGGTAATACCCATGTCGAGACCTGGGAGTCTCTTTCTATTTACGATTTCCTTTTTAAAGGGACATATATGAAATGTACAACTGTTTGAAGGAATGTGAGTTAATAATTTTTTTTTTAAAAAGCTTTCTAAAAATAGTGCTAGAGTTTCCAGAGAGGCTAATACAGCTCCTAAGTTAATATATTTGCATTTAAAGAGAAAGGGATGAGAACACAAGCTGAAAGTAAATCCATGATCTGGCAGAGCTACTACAGCTTGGCTTCAGGTTTATCTTGATGTGTCTTGACTATTACTGATTGAGTGATACATGCACAGAACATAGAGAGCTTGCTTTCAAAAAGATGTTCCACTGATACAATCTTTGCAAAACAAAGCTAGTCTACCTTTTGTTTTACTTCAGGTTTTTTACCACTAGGTTGCTTGCCTGTTTAACTCTGAAACTTCTGTTGTACAGAAACGTAGGTTTGTACCTCATCAGTTTTTCTTCATTTTGTTTTGCAGATTTTTCCCCTAAATCACTTGTCTTGCCTATTGTCTATTTGGTCTTAAACCTGGGTTTAAACTGAATATTTTTCTTCCTAGTACAAGCCTCTCTAGGAGCATAAGTTGTGACCTGTTTTTAGCGAGAGCACAATCCTCAGCAAGTTGAACTTAATTTGGAGAGGACTGGAAACAATCAAAGTACATATGCTTGAATATGAATTTGTATTTAATGTTGCTTTCCAGGCTGGACTAGTATAAAATAAAAAGCACATTTAACATAACTTTTAAATACCTATCTTGTAATACAACTTTGTTACAGCGTTTAACCTGCAAAATGGTTGACTTGGTTTCTCCCTCCCATCACTATTGGCTCAAGTAACTTCATGTGCTTGGGGGGCAGACCTTGCTGATGTGATTCATTATCATGTGTCCTACAGATATGTAATTTTAACTGCCTGTGCTTCCAGAATGTTTGAAGATGATCCATCTCCCTAGCAAGTGTTTAACCAGTGATTTATTTTACTACCAAAGTTTAATTTTTTACTGGCCTTCCTTGAATAGAGAAAAAGCTTAATACTTGCATATTGATGGTATTTAATGAGAAGTTAACTTAATATGGCTCAAGGAAGACAATGGTGTTTTCTGGAGTGCTGCACATGTAGGTTGGAAGTGCATAATGTAGCGTATCTAATCCTGCACAGAGAGATCTCAAAAGTAAGCCTTGTGCTTGTAAAGCAAATCAAATTGGAGTAAAGCTTATTTTCAATTTAGATTAGACTGCAAGATAAAGTCTTGAACATCCTGTTCTTGAGGAATATGCTGGTTACTGTAGAGTGTGGGAATATCTTCGGGTTTATTTTAAATACAAAAGGATAATCACTTATGCATGTTTAATTATCACCTGTGACCTTCTTCAGAAGGAACTGGAAAGAAGCTTTCTCTAATTGTGTTTGCCATCAGTGCAATGCAGATCTAAAAATAGAATCCCCATCGAAAAGATCCCACAAGTGAATCTGTATGTGCACATGCGTGGTCAAAGGACAGATTCTGAAAGACCATATGTCAAATGCAGTACTTGAATTCTATTACTTGTCAATAGGAGGCTTAAAGGGCAAGGCAGTCGCCTGAATGCAGCTGCAGTATGGATGGCAGTATCACTCCTCATGAAGTCAGACCTGCCCCAGAACCCTTGCAGTACCTGGCCTTTTCTTGTTTATGGAACTCTTGAAAAAGGAAATGGTAGCATGCCGATAGAAAGGGAAGCTTTAGGCAGGAAAGGTGTGTTTTGGGTGATGAGTGTGTGTGTGAGTAGGTTTTATTACATGTTCCTTGTGGGAATATTCGTGAGGGTCTGTTTGTAAGTGGGAGTTCGGGCTGTGCATGTGAGACCATAAGCAGGTACTGGGAATCCCCCTCAAAACTGCCTATTAAGCAAAATTGATTGCATGCTTAGTTTATTATTGAACTTAATTTTGCATCCAAACCTTTGGAAGAAAAGGCAGTACATTTAAACTACCTAGAAGCTAAGTCGGTGCTGTAGTTCAGGAATCACTTTTGATAGAAAATTGGTAAAACAGACACGTTTACGTAGTACATCAGCATCTCCTTATCTCAGTGAGAAGCACATCGTGCCGTTGGAATAACAGCATGAGTCTAAAGAGGTTGTCTGAAAACTTGATGACTGTTTCTCTGAGGGGGAGGGAGGGGAAAAAAAAGGCAAGATAGAGGGGCCGCTGGAATACCTGTCCAGGTATGCTTTAGTTGTATAAATCTATTTTGATTAATTTCATCTGTTAGAAACACCAGTTGGATATTTAAGCAATCAACAAAACTAGTGTAGCCTTAAAAATAAACCAAAACCTCCTGTCAGGTATTGGCTTTTTGTAGCCCATTATCTTTTGGGGACAACAAGCAAGGCACTTACCTTGCTGCAGAGCCCTCCCTAGCTAAATGTGCCTAAAATTATGTAAGCAGTGACCAAATAACAAAGTAATGCGATGTTAAGTAACCCTTTTGGCAGGAGGGGAGGGTGAGGAGAGTGTGTGTCTGATGCTTATAGATAATATTTTTCAAAAATATCCACAATATGAGTAAAAGGCTGTATGTTTCTGTTGATCAGATCAGAGCCTTGAAGTAACTAAAAATTGCCTAGATATTAGTGAGCTTTATTACTTTGTTTTTCTGGCCTGCATCCCAGAACTGGTCTGGGGTAACTCTCCTGAAGTCATCACTTAGCCTGTTGCTAAACTTTGGTCTCTCATCTTCTAAAAAAAGTTAGCCAATTGAATTAGACCACTTTGAAAAGCTTTTACGGCTTCGATATGGATTGGAAATTGCTGGAGATGAGATTTATCAAAACCCATTACGGTTCAGCCTTATTCCATTTGATTAGTCACTCTTGGCATACAGATAAGATTTGAAAGAAAACTGTCTTTAGTGAAATTATCATTAATAATTCACGTTTGTAACACTTGTATATACTGTGTACTTCTCTGGTAAGGAGCTTTATTTCATATATATATACAGAAATGTGATGAATACACATGCTTCATTGAGAGGTTTCGAAAAGTAGTCATTGACAAGACCAGAGTTATTTCAATTCTTAATGTTCATCGTGACGCTTGCTTTCTCGTGGAGTGTTCTAAAACTGCAGCAAGAATGTTGATGTGTGATGGAGGCTATCAACTTTCCTGTTCAAGGCAGGGAGGTGACAAAGTATTTTACAGGAACAGACCTTAGGAAATTACATGGATCAGTCTTACGTTGAGCTCTCAATCTGTAGAGAAACAAACCTCTTTGAGCATTAATGCATTGCTTGAAGGTGTATTGGTTTATGCACATTCTAAAATACACCAATGTATTTTTAACAGAATTGGCATAAGTTTTATTTTCTGGTTTTCTTTTTGTGACTTTTAGACTAAACAGTTACCACTGTTTGTTTGGTGAAGTGTTTTATTGTACTCTGAATTCTGCCCTTTGTACTGAACAAGAGCCTCACTTGTTCCTCAAAACAGGACTGTTACCACAAGAGTGGTGTTCTTTGTCGAAGTGCAAACTACATATGTGCAATATTAAAGTTAGTTACAAGTAACACAATTTAATAAGCATTTAGTTTTATATAAAACATCTTAAAACCTTCGTATCATCTCAAGTCCCAGATGAGGATTGTCACGAAAAGAATTGCTCCCATCCTCGTGCTAATTAAACCTTTCACAGTATTTTAAACTCTCGCCAGTTCAGTGATCACTTTGACTTTTTAAATGTTTTTCTTTGTTAAAAATATGCTATTTATACCTTTTGCTCTTACTTTGTTGAATCATTCAACATATTTGTATCATATTTTATGTGTGTTTTGCAACTTCAACAGGGTTCCCAAGTCTTTCATTTTTGTAACAAAGTTTGTGAGAATTGCCTTGGTTTAATTCTAGGTGGGAAATGGAAAAAAACCCCTAGATGTAGTTAGATGTTTTGCTCATTAAACGTTAGATCTTTAAAACACTGCTGTGGGAGTAATGAGCTGTTCTAATAGTTACTGGAGCCCGTGTATGTCATGATCTGATGACAATTTGTTTTCTCTCCAGGAGTGTATTGTAGCCATCCTGTCCTTCAGCTGCTTTCCCTTGGGTGGGACTGGTAAGTTTCTCCATTCTGTTATAAGTAGCCTTGTCAATTCCAGAAGAATGAACTTATTTTTGGCCATTCTTCTCTCTTCAAATGTGAATTTGGAGTAAGAGTAAGGTCCTACCTTTGTTCAGCTATTGTCTTATAACAGCTTGTCAGCTCTGTTTGGAATTGCAATGTCCAGTAACAATATACTAAGAAAAATACAGAACACCCCCATTGCTTTGTATCTGTACTGCTTAATGAACCTTACAGTAAGCTTTCTGCAAAGCTGTTAGTGTTTGTGGTATTGCCATTGACACTGGACAGTTGTTTGGTTTGTTTCAGGATGTGAAATATGGGCCTCTGTTTTTGAGAAGCTTGCCTTTCTGCCAAACCTTGGTATATGAAAGTCTTGCATGTAGCATATTTTATTTTCACATAGTTATTTGGCAAAAAAAAGGCATTACTTCTCAGTTGGGCTATCTGTAGGTGCTTTCCTGGGCTTTTTTGTTGATGTGACAGCGAAGCTTTGACTTCACATTCTGCATGATCATGTCTGAGTATGTTCTGTTACATTTCATGTAGCTGTAGCAACACAGAGCTTAATGCATCCTGGTGTCTGCAATAAGGCAGCAGTTCTGATGAAAGCTGAAATGTTTGCTCTCTGTTTGGGTGAAGCCATTAAAATTAAAGTATATTCAATGTTTTCTGCATTCAGAATGAAGACAAATGTAAAGATGGCATGTCCAAGGAATTTTAAAAGGTGTAGACCTCCTGACTGAGCAGTGCTGTGTATTTTATTCTCTTTAATTAGTAAAGTAAGTATAAATCTATGCTGCTGGGAGTTAACTGTGCCGTTTTTATATATGTGACAATAACAAGCTCTTAGCACACTGACGGAATGACAATCCTACTTCTCTTGATGGGAGAAGAGCGGGAATTATATAAAATAATAGATAATGCAAAACTGCTCTTTTGACAATTCACATGTACTTTTTATTTTTTAATTGAGTATAATGATTGAATCCAGTAGAAAATTCTGATTACAAAAGCAATGTCAATCACTCTGATCTTGGAATTCCTTATAAATGAAAAATAACTTTTAGCACGTAGTTGAGGAGAGTGATGAAGGACTGCTAGTAACACATCAGACACTAACTTATACCTGCTTGTTGCTCTTACTTGAACAGGACCCAAATGTTTGGTCAAAGTACACTTTCTCCTAATCTGTCACGCTAGTTTCACTCTCCGTTTAAATTTGTGTGTTCCAAGTAACTTTCTTTGAAATAAATAAAGGAAATAATGGCTAGGGTTAAGGTGCCAGGAGTTCCTGGATCCTTCTGTGATGTTCTGGATGCTACGCCAAATGTTAGATTTATTTAAAACTGTGAAGACACTAATAAGCTTCAACTGTTTAATAGTGGGAGAAATTGTTTTTAACAATTCTCTAAGGATGTCTTTTTTTCTCTTTTCTACCAGCTGCTGTTCTATCACAGGTGAAAGTCATGATCACGCTAACAGAACTCAAATACTTAGCAGATGCCCAGTCATCCTACCACATCCTAAAACCATGGTGGGATGTCTTCTGGTATTACCTCACCATGATAATGCTGCTAGTTGCTGTGCTCGCTGGGGCTCTTCAGCTTACTCAAACCAGAGTATTGTGTTGTCTTCCTTGCAAGCTAGAATTTGACAATCATTGTGCTGTGCCTTGGGATTTAGTTAAAGCCAACCTTAACGTGTCAGCTAGCTCTACAGCACAGATAATCATCCCGCTTAAAATCCAGAATGATCTCCATCGGCAGCAGTATTCCTATATTGATGCAGTATGTTATGAGAGACAGCTTCACTGGTTTGCCAAATTTTTTCCATACCTAGTGCTTCTGCATACCTTTATTTTTGCAGCTTGCAGTAATTTCTGGCTTTACTATCCTAGTACAAGTTCTAGGCTTGAGCACTTTGTTGCCATTCTTCAGAAGTGTTTTGATTCTCCATGGACAACGCGTGCCCTCTCAGAAACGGTCGCCGAGCAGTCTGTGAGGAAGTTGCCAATAGCCAAATCAAAAGCAGTGATTTCATCACCTGGGAGTTCAGTAGATATAGGTGCCAGCAGACAGTCCCTGCCATATTCGCAACCTGGCTTGGAAACAACTGGAAGAGAAAATTCCTCAAGTGTTCTTGACAAAAAGGAAGGAGAACAAGCTAAAGCTATATTTGAAAAAGTGAAGAAATTCAGGGTTCACGTTGAAGAGAAGGATGTCATATATACAGTGTATATGAAACAGATTATAGTGAAAGTCATTGTATTTGTAATAATAATAACTTATGTCCCCTACTATTTATCATTTATTACACTTGAAATTGATTGCATAGTTAATGTTCAAGCCTTTACAGGCTACAAAAGGTATCAGTGTGTTTATTCGCTAGCAGAAATTTTTAAAGTTTTGGCTTCATTTTATGTTGTTTTAGTGATCTTCTATGGCTTAACTTGTACTTATAGCTTGTGGTGGATGTTAAGAAGTTCACTTAAGCAATATTCTTTTGAGAAGTTGAGAGAGAAAAGTAATTACAGTGATATACCTGATGTAAAGAATGACTTTGCATTTATTCTCCACTTGGCAGATCAGTATGATCCTCTCTATTCCCAACGATTCTCAATATTCCTGTCTGATTTGAGTGAAAACAAACTGAAACAGATTAACCTTAACAATGAATGGTCTGTGGAAAAAGTGAAAAATAAACTAGTAAGAAACTCCCAAGACAAGATTGAACTTCACCTTTTCATGTTAAATGGTCTTCCAGACAGTGTCTTTGAACTGACAGAAATAGAAGTCCTAAGCCTGGAACTTATTCCTGAAGCCAAACTTCCTTCAGCTGTGACCCAGCTAGTCAATCTCAAAGAACTCAATGTTTATCATTCATCACTAACTATGGATTATCCAGCAGTCAGCTTTTTAGAAGAAAACCTGAAAACATTGCGCCTGAAATGTAGTGAGATGGGAAGAATTCCGTTTTGGGTCTTTCATCTAAAAAACCTGCAAGAATTGTGCTTAACAGGATATTTCATGCTAGATCATCACAACTCCATATACAATGATAGCTTTCAGGGGCTGAAAAATCTGAGATCAATTCACTTAAAAAACAACCTGTCACGTATACCTCAAGTGGTTACAGATCTTCTGCCTTCTTTACAACACTTGTCTATCAACAATGAGGGAAATAAACTGATAGTGCTAAATAACCTGAAGAAGCTGGTAAACCTGAGAACCTTGGAATTAATCTGCTGTGATTTAGAGCGCATTCCCCATTCTATTTTTACCCTAAACAATTTGCATGAAATTGACTTAAAAGAAAACAATCTCAGAACTGTGGAAGAGATAATTAGTTTTCAACATCTCAAGAACCTTTCTTGCTTAAAATTGTGGCACAACAGTATTTCATATGTCCCAGTGCAGATTGGTGCATTATCGAACCTGGAACAATTGTATCTAAATTATAATAATATTAAACATGTTCCATTGCAGCTGTTTCTTTGTAAAAAATTACACTATTTGGATCTTAGCTATAATAAGCTAACCTCCATCCCTGAAGAAATCGGTTACCTGCCCAATCTGCAGTACTTGGCTTTGACAAAAAACCACGTAAGTAGAACTTTGAATTACTACTTTAAAAAAAAAAAAAATCAAGTATTGACTTAACCGACCATTTCTTCTGGAACAGCCTATGGTTCAAAATGCTTTTGTGGTGTTCATGCTTAAAGTAAACCCAGTAAAGCTGAAGAAAATAGATGGTGGTTCTTTGAATTATTGAAACTATGGTGTCACCAAAGCTTGCGCAATACTGTGTAAGTACTCTCTTGGTCTGATCCAGAGATGGTGTAGGTTGGGATGGCTGCAGAAATGTATCTTCCCTTTCCCCGCAGCTGTCTATGCTATGTAGTCTTTCAACGTTAGTGAACAGTCTTACATTTCTACCTTAAAATGTAAACTGAAAGCTGTAGTAAATCAACAGCCAGTTGATGAGCAGCTCAGCTGTCTGATTGGGAAGAGGGAAATAATTACAGCTGGTAACCTCATCAGCAGTTCTAAACTGTCTGGCTCATTAGTGTGGGGTCCAGGCTTGACTTTTAAGATTTCTTTTGAGGTTTATAATTGTTTTCAGTGGTGAGGTAGGTTTTGGATGTTGTCAAGTAGTGTGGACCAGGACTAAGTTATTACTGCAGCGCTCACATAACAGCTTGTGTAGGCTTCTCAACACGGGAGCTGCTGATGTCTGCCCACAGAATCTGTGGGTGTCTTTCATTAAGTGATTCCTAGGCGATAGGAGCCTATTCCTCTCTCACGCCACCTGCACACATTCGTACGCACTTCTGGGTGTGCATGTGTGTATGTGCTCCCTCCCGGCCATGCTTATGTCTTGACTTCTGCCAGCAGCCAAGCATCTTCACAGCAAAGCGAGTATAGAAAACCGTTGTGTTCTCAAGCACTTGCTTGCATGACAATAGAAGCATTAGGTGTTTCCTTATCCTTCCATAAACTAAGAAGGGTGTTTTAACCTAAAATAAAACCAGGAAATATCAAAACAGGTAGGCTAACAAGTTTTAATGTACATGATTTTTGTTCTTTTCTTTCCTTTTTCTAGATTGAAATGCTGCCTGATGGATTATTTCAGTGCAAAAAGCTGCAATTTCTTCTCCTGGGGAATAACAGCCTGATGAATTTGTCCCCTTGTGTGGGCCAGCTACTGAATCTTGTTCAGTTAGAGCTCATTGGGAACTATCTGGAATCTTTTCTGCTGAACTGGAAGAATGTCAGTTCTTAAAGCGGAATAGTCTAATTGTGGAAGAAAGGTTGTTAAAAACACTTCCACCTCGTGTAAGAGAGCTTTTGCAGGCATGCTCAGATAAGTGCTAAGTTTAAAACAAAGCTCTGCTTCATTGCATCTTGTAAGCCTTTTGCTTAATATCTCTCTAAAGAGAGAATTGAAGGAGAGTACTTTACAAATCAGTTTTAAACTTAAATGCTTTGAATTGAGTTGGTTGTATTGGAAAAGAAAAATTTATTTACACATGAACAAAAAATGCCACCTTTAACGTGTAATCATGTTTGAAAAACATGAAATATGGATTGTTGGTTGGTTTAACTGGCTGAAATGATTCAGTTAAATCTTTGATGGTATTGAAATGGAAGAGTTGATTGCCTGGCTGTAGTGAGAGTGTATATACTTTTTTTCCTATGGGAGATTTTTCAGTTGATAGTGATAATGTTAAACAGTTTCATCTCCTGCAATATAAGGCCTAAGAACTGTCTGGAATTAGTTCCTAAATATGAACCCTTCACTAACTTAGAATATGTTAAATTAAGAGTTTAAACTATTTGAGCAGTTCAATTGCATGGGGTATACTGAAAGTAATTATTCAACCTACCTTACTTCTTAAAGCTTTTGAGAAGTACTGAGCATTAATTCTATAATTGTGGAAGATGCCATTTGAATCTCGCTATTAAAACCAGTTGGACAATAATACCTGAAACCAGTTTCAGTATTTTGTCTTAAAAATAGTAAATGTGAAATGAATTGCTGCCTGGAAACTGGGGGGAGTCAGAAGAATCTGGAGTAACTGTTTGTGTGCATGTACTAAACAAGTCTTAAGTACTGATCTTCACAGATAATGATGGCAAATGGAACACGATATAGTTGCAGAGTTGTCCTCTGTATGTTGTGAGCATCCCAGGTATTAGTGTAGTGTATGTTGCTGTCTGATGTTTTTTGTGACTTCTCATTACTGAGTGCCCCGGTGCTGCTTCTCCATACCCAGTTACTGTATTTTGGTGGCTGGGGAGAAGATGAAGGAGGTTTGTACTGGGACAGAGACACAGTTAAAACAGACCAAATAATCATACAGTTATAAGCACTTGGGAGGGAAAAACCAGGGAGCATTATAAGCTTTGCCTCTTCTAGGGATGTAATAATTTCCTAAGTTCTAGTGGTGGGTTGAGCTTTTATGCCATCCTTACTACTTGCAAAACTGGATGGAAATAAAATGGTTCCTGACTTCATTCTTCTGCTGTGCGCTGTTTTCTTGTATTTGAAGTCTTGGTTCTCATGTTCACTAAGAACGTAAGTTATGCCCCTGAGGATAAAGAGCATGCTTTCCAAACACATATTTGAAAAATCTGTGTTCAAGTTTTAAAAACTGATCTCAGCCATGAGTTAAACGGATGAGGGTAAACGCTGTTCTCAATGACTGTCCCTCAGGTGTGCTGACTATACATTCCAGTTCGTAATAACAAATCATAACAGATAAACCCGTTTGAGTAAGAGACTACTTTTAGTCATCTCTTGCTCCCATTCCAGGGTCATTTTTGTCGAGAGTAAGGTTTATTTTGAATGAAAATGCCAAAACCAAGTCTGATCAACACGGAAGTAGGAGATGTCTCTGCAGTATCAGTCCGAGAGGTGCATCTTTAATCACTGTGCTGATGACATTCCAAAGACCTTTGTAGTTAGAGCACTTCTATTCTCAGGGAACCAAAATGTGGTATAACTGTTAGTTTTTATGTAGTTGTAGAAATGTTTAGTGTAAACTGATTAGTTGTGTTTATGTGCAGACCAGTGCTACAAGAAGTCTTTCACAGTGTCTGTATATAGCTCTTCCAAACTCTCAACTAACTTTGAGTTTAAAATAGTTCCATAGGAATTGACACGGTTCGCAGGCAGCAGTAGTTGTGACTAAACCAGAGTACATTGATTTGCACCCCTGTGGCAAGAGTTCTGTTAATAATTGCAATAGCTCTGTGTCAGGACTTCATAACTTAACACAGGAGAACACTTCATGCCAGAATTTGATGTGCAAGACTTGCAGTCTAGTAATTTTTAAAAGATTAGGCAAGCATTCCCTTTACAGCTTTTTTCTAAATTGGAAAGCTGTATTGAAAAAGTTAAATAAGCAAGTAACTGGCTTGGCCAATAACTTCAAATTTTTAGCAGTGTATCTGTCCTTTTCTATAATCAACAAAAATAGATTGAGGCAAATGATGATCTTAAATGTGCATTTTATGCTAGTTCTGTCATAGTGAAATAACAGAAATACCTTGAAGAAAAATACTTCATTTCTAAAATGTGTATCCTCAATGGATTTGAGGAAACACAAGAAATGTGTAAGACTATAAATACTGGTTTATAGCTTAGATGGGTTCCATTTTTTGTAGACTTGAATATTTTTTCACTCTGCACCCCCTTCAAGAGGGTTGGATTTTTTCACTGCATGTTTGAGTGTTTATAAAACACCCAGACAAAAGCCAGAAAGTTTAAAGGCTAGAATCCAATGCCTTGCTTTCAAACCAAAGTGTGCCTTTATCTATTTTGTACCATGAGACCCAATCCTAGTGCTTAGAATTGAGGGTGGAGACAATTATAACTGAATTTCTTGAATTCACTTCAGCCATGACCTTAATTTAGTATTTCTTCAAAATGAGGGGCTTTTCAGGGAATCAATATATAAATCCACTGTCACAAACTTTGTACAATAAGTATTGTTGGCATCTATCCTTTGTATGAAACAATTGCTTCCAATCAAAAAAAGGCTTTTCAAATTGTTTCAGTGTTGTATTGTGTTTGAGAACTTTGTATTGTGACCTTCCGTACCGTGAACACTCTTTTGAAAAATTAAATTTTTTTTTGCATTACAATTCTATGAACTCTTCTTTATTTTCCATAGGAGATGTTGCATTTACTGCAAAGCCCAGAAGTCGGCTTCCAGCTATCTGTAGCTATGTGCTAGCAAGTACATTTTCCACAGGAAAGGGCGAAGATGAAGAACAGCAGTGGGAAATGAATGCTGTGCTCTCCCTGTCAAAGCATTTGTCATGTTCTGGGCTAGGAGAGAAGCTGTTGTGTTGATCAGAACTAAGCTTCCATCGTAGTTGTTGTTACAGAACCTTTTCCAAATCTCCTGCTTTAATTTTTGTGAGCTGGGTAAATATCAAATGCAGCCTGGAATTGTACTGTACAGCTGTCATGTGGCTAAACTGCCAAAAATAGTGCTGCTTGCAGTAAATGATGAATGTATTTCAAGTATTGCACATTGTGTTAGTTCAAAGAACTCATTTCTCTTGAAATGCAAGGTGATAACTCATGGCTTTTTGTGGGAACCTGGGTTTGGCTCCAATGTTTCAAAGATTAGGAGGGAAAAAAAAGAAAGGAAACATGCAAGTAATGTTACATATTCAAATGCTAGCTTCTTGCCTTTCAGAATGAGCTGCTCCCTAGCAAGTTTTACAGAACTGTGGCCCTTTCTCCTTGGAGATGAAACAAAATAACTAGTAAATGAATTGCGGTTTACCTGGTTTGAGGTGGTCGTGTAAGTAAAATAAGGCAGATGATTCTTAAAGTTGTTGTTCTGTGCTCCTTCACATCCACGTATTTTGTTTTCATGGCAGCTTACTGTAGTTCTAATGATTTTTTTTTTTTTAACCAGTAGATTTACATCACGCTAACCAACTTCTTTGGTATGTAGACTCCATCTTCAAGAATGTGATTACAGTTCATTTTGTAATCACTTATAATAAGTGACTCTCTTTTTCCCTCTTCCCTTTCCAACCCAGTAAATGCTGGCATTATAGGGGACAATACAGGAGCAACTGAAGAATTGTACTAGCAAATACATGGCTGCAAATCCTGAAAGCAGGAGACAGTGCAGGTCATCCTATGGATTGTTTATACCAACGATTTTACAGAACTTTGGGTATTTCTGGAGATCGGGAATTGACCAAGCTCTCTCACTTTGTTTGGCCTTGTTGGGGGTGGTGAATCCCTCAAATGTGCAAGCATGTTAATGTGTTTCGCAGAGAATGCAGAGACTCTGCAGTTTAGTTGCTGCCATGGTGGAGCTGACAGGAGCTAATGTAGGCTGTGGCAGCAGAGGAGGAACTGTAGTTGATTGACAGGAAGAAGCAAGCAGTGATACTGCAGTCCTATGTGCTTGTAGGATGCAGCAGTGTTTCAGGAATTCTTGTGTCTGGAGGAGCTGCCATCCTGGCATGACATGAGGAGTTCATCCCAGCCCTCGATTGCCAGGACATGTAGGTGGCAGAGGGAGCAGTAGCAACCCACTCCAGGTCTGGACTAGCATCTGAAAAAGTTTAGGCATTACCTCATTCTGGTGTGTTTATAGTAAATGAACTGTTACGTCTTTGTCTTGTTGCTTCCTTATGTTCCTCCATTTATGTGAATATCTGTGGTCTCTTTGTTCAGCCTCTAATAACTTATATTCCTCTTCTGTTATTTTGTACAAGTGTGCTCTTTGCTTGGCATGAGCTGGCTAGAAGGCTTTCAGGTGGTATGGATATGCAAGCCATATGTGTTAACACTTGGAGAGGTGGAGAAGGGAGGATGAAGATTGTCCTACCTGCGGAGAGAGCGGAAAGGAGTAAGTGCTCAAAGTAACAGTGGAGGTGTCTGAGAGATCACTGTTGCTGCTTAGCCCAGCAAGGCTATTGGGAAGCTACCGGGAAGTATTACTTGCTGGTAGGCAGTTATGACAGTATGGTGTTAAACACAGTGAGGTATTGGTCTATAGTGCTTGTGGATATGCTGTTGAAGAGGTAAATTTATTACTTGCTATTGCCTTTTTCCCCTTATAAAAATGCTATTTGTAAATCTACTACTATTTATAAAACTCACTTTCTGTTCTTTCCCCTCCCTCATACTTGCGTATCTATGTATTGCAGGACCAGTGCTCCTGACAAAATACATTGTAAAGCAACTAATGTGGTTAGTATTTGAAAAGTGTGCAAGGATGAAAACTGTAATGGAGGTACGTAGAAATGCTAGTCACTGCACTCTCGCTGGTCATGCAACTTGAAAATCTCTTTAAGTCAGAGTTAAGGTGGAGTATATGGATGGTAAAGGAGAAAGGAGGAACACAGCTCACTACTCGTCACTGAAAACGTAGCTAATCTGCAAGTAGTGAATTGACTGATCACCAATCTGCCTTGCTTAGTAACAACACTGCACAAAATTGGTGATGAAAGAGTTTGGTGGGGGTTTTAAA